CCCACATGCACGCTCTTAACCCGCACATATAAAAATAATTCCCTCTCACACATCATCAGCAGAGCAACAGCGAGGTCAGCAGCAGCCAACACGTCTTAATAAAGCTTCGTTCCTGCATCCACAGACCACGGTCTCCGAGTATATCCGGCTGCAGTACCTCAGATCCTATAAAACCACTTTTATAGTTCAGACTCTCTCACCGTCAGCAACAAAACGCTGTTTACTCAGCTGGCTTCAATTAACAAACTCAAAGTTGTGTTAATCAGTGCGTTGTTGGGGAAGAAATACAAAACAAACGTTAAGTACAGCTTAACAAATGCACGCTGTTGTTAAGATAAAAGCAGGTGACTTGTGATGGAAACTTGATTAACCTGGATTCACACGCTGCTGCGATGTTTACTACACAGAGCTGACAGCAGAGTGTGACGTGTTAATGTGCTGGAAGATAATCTCAGGTGAGCTGCTGGAGGTTATTTTAAGTGTCGTCTATAAGCAGAGAAACCGAGGCCCGATCACCACAAACTCAAGTAACGTCTGTTCGATTGTACAACTTATAAAAGATAAATCAATCAATAACTTTATTAATATATCAATTAAAATAACAGCTATTCAAATGGGAGTATTTGCTGCATTTTCAATCACAGTTATTACTATTTTAAGACCCTTTTGGGCAAAAGACAAAGTGAAGATTGGGAGAGTTTTTAAAACATCGGCTGACCGGTCCGTCCTGGTTCTAATTGAGCAGATCACCGTAAAGACTGGATCTATAAACCAGCAGAATCAGCACAAAGACACAGCGGGAAGCTCATTGTTCATTTGCACAAATGTCAAACTGTGTTTGCAGCCGATAAGCAGATAAGATGCTGATTAACTGTAACGATGCTCTGGATTAATTAGACACAAACAGACCTGATGTTTTCCATGTTGAGCTCTACTACCTCCATCTAAAGACACACTTCTTAATGCCAGAAGACTTCAGGAACCTGATGACAAACTAAGTGATTAAATATGACAAAAGTGTTTCCATTGTTTTGCCACTTTATACTTCTACTCCACTACGTCTCAAAGGGAAATAACTTTTGTTTCCTTATTTAAAATATCAAATGGAGGATTTATACTTTAACTGAGTATTTAAATACTGTAGTACGGATACTTTTACTTGAATTAAGTATCATAGTATTTCTGTTTTTTTTGAAGCGAGCTGGAACTTAATGTTCGACAGGAAGAAAGCTGCTTCCCTTTCTGAACCAGCACCATGTCTCTCTCAGGGGGAGGCTGAACTCAGCACACTCAGCAGAAATGTTAAGCTCGGTCTATTTTTTTGTTGCTGTAAACATCTCTCCGTTTTCTGAATCTGCTGCGTTTGCAGCCAGAAGAACAACATTAAGCCCCTTGTTGTCATGATAGAAAGATTTTTCTATAGAAAAATTGTCTTTCGCTGAAACTTCCTCAGAAAGCCTTAAAACAGAAACAGCTTCTTTCACAACAGGGTGGAGACGGAAGGAATCGCACGAAAGGGTTTAACTAGACTTTATACCAGAGAGAGA